TTAGAGACTAACAAATTTATTAAGCTTTCAGTCCACGAAAGCTTAATAAATTTGTTAGTCTCTAAGGTGCCACAAGTACTCCTGTTCTTCTTTTTGCTGTTAGTTTTTGAGTGTTTGGCTAGCTGCTCTTCAAATTCACCTGATCTATTCTATTCTGTATAGATTTTTATACTGTGCTCTAGAACCCTGCAGTGGCACTGTTGTTTTCATGAGTGCTCATATGTCTCCAAATTTATTTCCTTGCCTCTGATGCCTTCTGAGTCTGTTTCTGCTCTTGACTGAGGCTTGTGAGCAGGCCCTCAGTTTCAGGTCCTTCATTCTCTGGCAAGTCCTGACTGAGCAGAGCAGCGTTGAGTGAACATTTCTGGCTGCGCTGAGGGCAGTAGGGAGCAGATAGCAGAGTACACCTGAGCCCAAGCCTGAGTGGTTCAGTGTGGGGTTATTTAATCCCCTGGAGTGGGGCTGTCACTGGTACAATGCACCTTGTCCTCAGTCTGCTCTGCAGACCTTGTGGGGAGATGCCTGCAGGGAGTTGCCAGGGCATGGCAGCCAGCAGCTGAGTTGCTGGCTGAATTGGGTGCTCGTGAAAGTGATGTGCCATTATAAGAGCCGTGTAGAGCGTGGGTGGGTGCTGGGCAGGCTTCCCACCCACTACTCTGCCTGTGCCCCTCAACCCAGCCCTGCTGTTACATTCCTGTCCAGCTCAGCCCATATGTGTCCATCCTGCCCTGTAGCACCCCCTGCTGTTCCAGTGCTGGCCCCTGCATGCAGCAGTGCTGATGCACTGCAAGCCAGTGAAATCATAATCCTGAAATCGGGACAGGATAGCCTCTTGCCATGAAAGTGCTCATGATGTCACAACACTATCTGTATCACTTCACTGTGCACTCAGCTAGGACAGAGATGGGCAGAGGGGCTTGGAAAAAGAGAGCAGCTCAGAGCTGCCAGTAGGAATCTAACAAGCTATTCTCAAATTCATTTCACAGTTTATACCTGCCAAAAAGAGCTTTCTCCAGCCCCACCTTGTTGAGCATGGTGTAGCACAATTCATGATTCCCAAGGGCTGGCTGAGCTTTGTCCCCTTTGAGCTATGCCAAGATCAGTCTGTGCTAGGCTGGCTGCATTATTGTGTTCCTAGGCTGTGCCCTTGTCCCTCCACCAAGGTGATGCCATGCCCGCTCACGGGTGCTTGGTATTAACCTTGCTCTTTCCTTGGCTTTTAGGTTTTCCTCCAGGGAATGAAGAATCCTCTAGCAGATCCCCAAGGTCCTATCGTAGCCATTGCCAGAGTGGTGAACAACTTTAATGCATACAGGTGAGTAGGGGGCAAGGGGCACCCTGACAATCACACTGGAACAAAGGAGCCCAGCAGCTGCTAGCATGGGCACAAGAACATATTTCAGAGGTGTGCTGGAAGTGTCAGGATATGTATTGTACACACTCTACTGGGGGGAGCCAGGGTTTGAATGGAAGGAACAGGATCAGGGGCGGCTCTGTGTATTTTGCCGCCCCAAGCACGTCCCCACCGCCAAATTGCTGTGGAAACCGCGGGACTGGCAGACCTCCCGCAGGCATGCCGCCAAAGGCAGCCTGACTGCGGCCCTCACGGCGACCGGCAGGCTGCCCCCCATGGCTTGCCGCCCCAGGCACACACTTGATGCGCTGGTGCCTGGAGCCACCCCTGAGCAGGATTTAAAGCACGGTTCTATTTTGACTATGAAAATATCTGTGAAGGCTTCACATTTTATTGCCTTTCCACAATCTGCATGTTACATGCACTCCATTCACAGGTAACACCCTGCCAAGAAAGCACTAACTCACTTCTAAGCTGGGCACACCTTGAATATTATCTGCCAGAGTATAGCAGAGTCCACTAGTCCATGTCCATTCTTTGTGAATAAATCGAGAGATACAGAGCAGTCACCTACCATCTTTAAATGTCTCGCAGAATACCTGACCAGTCTTTCCCTCCCATCACAGAAAAGCCATGAAGATGCGGCCCTCTGCCTCTCCTGCGATTGATTTAACCACCATCACATTTCCAGACCCCTCCATGGTGGCATTCGATGTTCTCCGAGTCACCAACCAAGGATATCCCCAGGTAGGGGGCCAGTGTGTCTTTAAGTATTCCTGCTCCTGCCAGAATGGAGAAGGGAGCCATGTGCTGCAGTACTAAAGATACGACATGGATTGTCTTACAGTGAGGATGCTGCACGGAGCTGGTGCCAAAGGTAGTGCTGCCTGGAGTTTAGAAATGGAATCAGTGCTAGTAAAGCGTTTGTTCCTCCCTTTTTCCTTGTCTCCCTTTGTCCCCAGCCTTTTTACTGTGCTGCAACCTAATTCCTGCATCTCCCCTTGACTGAGCCGTGTCTGGCAGGAGCTGGAATTAAGGCCCAGCTGGTGGGTATGTATATGTATTGCAGCCCTCCTTACCAGATGTCTAAATACATTTATTTAACAGCATTAATCACACAAGGAAGAAAACCAGAACTTTCGTCTGTATCTTCCTTCCCCTAATTATTATTAGTTTCCAGCTGGTGAGTTTTGGCCACCAAAAGTACATGGCCAGATTTTAGGAAGATCTCACTCTTTGGGTCCATACGCTGAACCCTTTAGACAATCTGTTCATCAGCATCACAATGGGAACTACTGGGGACTAAGCAGTGTGAAAGTGTGGCCCTTATTATGATGCCTAAGTGGGAGTCCAGCCCCAGGCATTTTGGCTGGAAAGATCATTAAGTGGTCTGCCGAGACCCTCAGCAATTTTCAAGTGGTCCACGAAAAAAAAAGTTTGAGAACCACTGTAGGAGTTAGGCTTATAATGCCTCTCTTCGCCCCCTGGATCCCAGGGGCCAACACTTGAGCAAAAGAAGTAACTCCATTCACTGATAGCAGTAGTGGTTCAATCACCAACCTGCTCTGTGACCTTGGGCAAGGTCTGCCTTACTCTGCCCTGTATCTCAGGTCCCCACCTCTGAGATGGGGATAATCCTTCCTTCCTCACAGGAGGGCTATGAGGATAATAATGGGTGTGAGGTGCTCAGATCCTACAGTGATGAGAGCCCTATAGCACCTAGAAAGACTGGTTCACCAGCTCTGACTCATCACCTAGGGCCTTTAGATAAAGCTTAAGCCTAGAGCTGGTCAGAAACATTTTGATGAAACATTTTCTCCATTGGAATCTGCCGAGTCATCAAAATGGAAATGTTCCACAGGAACAGGCTAAGTTCAGTGGGATTTTGAGAGAAATCAGCCAGGCTTCTGATGGATGTCAGCCTGCTTTCCTGCCCTGCTCCTCCACAGCTGGTCTGTTGAGCTGCCATGGAGCCAGATGCCCAGAGCCCTGGGAATCTCAGCTGCCAGGTCTGTGGCTCTCAGCAACCTGGGCTTCCAGGGTCCCTGGCTCTGGAGCAGCCCACTGGGCAAATGGCCCAAGAGCCAGGGCTCCCAGTCTCCTCACTTCTTGCCTGGCTCCCACACTCTCCAACTCTCTCCCACCCCCCCATCCCCCATTCCCCCTGTGGTCTATCAGGGCTCTGGGCAGCTGTTTCGCAGAGAATTTTGAATGTTTTATGTTTGTTCCAAATGGGAACAAAACCCAATTTTGGAATCTCGCAATCCTCCCAAACCAGGATGACCCTTTCTCCACCCAGCGCTACACAAGGCACTTTGCTCCCAGCTGGAGGTCTGGCTCCTGCTGACTGCCTCTCTTCCGCCATGGGATCCTCCCAAGGGGATGGAGTCACAGAATTCTTCCTTCTCATGGAGGAAGTGGAGTTAGGGTCTGTCTACACGGCAATGAAACACCCATGGCTGGTCCATGTCAGCTGGCTTGAGCTCGTGGAGCTATAAAATTGCAGTGTTGTTGTTCGGGCTCAGGCTGGGGCCTGGGCTTTGGGACCCTCCCTCTTTGCGGGGTTCCTGAGCTCAGGTTCCAGCCTGAGCCCAAACACCAACACTGCAATTTTACAGCCCCATAGGCCAAGCCCCATAAGCCCGAATCAGCTGACATGGGCCTGCTGCAGGTGTTCCGTTACAGAGTAGACATACCCTTAGAGCTGCCAACACAGCTTATTAAAGGGCTGGTCCTTCTTATGTTTTGCTGCTTTGATCCTCAGTGGTGACTTGGAGACTGTGTTCGTTTCGGGTGCAATCAGTGTCAGGGATAGAATTGACAGGGCTCAAGAGCCAGTCTTGAGGGTATGCTTGTGAGTTTGCTGTACCTCACTACAGGCAGCAGTGAGAGGAGTGGGCCGGAATAGATGTCACCATGCAGGGGCGGGGGAAGGGCAGTGAGGGCTGTGCAAATCCCTAAGTGAGTCACACCTGGCAGCCATGGTCTTGCTCTTAGCAATCAAATTATAAAATGAATCCACAAAGGGAATTCCCCCCTTTTCCTTTAATCAGACTTTGTATATCTTTCCATCACTTAACCTGAGTACCCAAGCAGGGCATGAGTTAGAGCACAGGGCTGTAAATACGCATGCAATGAGAAATCATGTAGGTGGCATTTTGCTTGGCAGTTTACTAGGGCACTAATCAAGGCTAAGTCTGAAATGATGCCCATACAGCTCTGCCAGCACACCTCAGTCCTGATTACTAGTCCCCTCTCCCATGAGTAACAGCCACATCTCCTGAGCAGACAGTCATTGCCAACTGGGTGGGGATCTTTGGGATATCCACAGACAGGAGCCTGAGTGAAACCTGTCAAACTGATTTCACTTGGGGGCTAGGCTCTGGGGTGCCAGCCCCCTTTCTGTTGTGATTGGAATGATACATCTATTCCACATTGCAGTTCTCATTCCAGGCTGTGCCCCTAAATGCTATCTCTTTGTGGTAGCTTTGGCAGAGCCTTCTGTTTGGTGCATGCTGGCCCAGCTTCACACTGCTTCAGCTCATGCACTACTGCCTGATCCCACCAGCCAGGTGCTCGAAACTCAGCCCAGCTAGGGAACCTTAGGATTGTAATGCATTGCCTGGCTCCAGATTTGAGTATGATTCCTCTGGTAGCTTAGATCTTCCAGCAGACTCAGTTCTTAGACTGGGGTGCTTTCAGCTCCCTGCTGAATCATGGTCATCTTCTGAGCTGATGGCAAAACCTAGTCTTCTCTAGCTGCAGTCAGCTTCCTTGAGAACAGCTTAACACTGTCCACAGCCACCGCCCTATTCTAGCTTTCACCACCCCAAAGTAAACAGTAGGGACTCAAGCAACAGTGTTCAGATCTGAATTAGAAACAGTCAGAAATTTGGGGGGGTTGGATCTTGTGCCTTGGTTCTGACCCACCTCTGACAGAAGAATAATACCACAATGATTGCTGAAGGTCACCTCTAGAGCATCTCTGGGCTGCAGAGACCAGCTTTATCTCCCCCTTGCCATCACAGGACTGCCTCCCCTGATTCCCTCCCATCCTTGATTGGTGCCTAAAGTTTTACTGTAGGGAAGTGCAGAGCCCTTGTTCCTGCCTAGGGGATCCTGGCTATGGCCTTGCCTGATGAGAAACTCTCTGACTCTTCTTTCCTGCTGCACATCTTCTCCCCTGCTTGTGAAGATCCAGTGTGCAGCAAAATGACTGTGTTCCTGTGCATAAGCCCCAAATGCTGTTTCTTTCTGCAGATCATAGAATCATAGAATCATAGATTATGGGACTGGAAGGGACCTCGAGAGGTCATCGAGTCCAGTCCCCTGCCCGCATGGCAGGACCAAATACTGTCTAGACCATCCCTGATAGACATTTATCTAACCTACTCTTAAATATCTCCAGAGACGGAGATTC